AGCCGAACTTCACGTACCGCTTCAACGAGGCGCCTCGGGAATTCACCCTGAACGGCAGCAGCGGGGAGATCCGCACCACGGGCGTGCTCGACCGAGAGGCGCTCGCCACGGACCGCTTCGACTTGGTGGTGCTCTCCTCGCAGCCCACCTACCCCATCGAGGTGCGCATCAACGTCATCGACATCAACGACAACTCTCCCCGGTTCCCGGAGCCGTCCATCCACGTGACCTTCTCGGAGAGCGCCAACGCTGGCACGAGGGTCATCCTCGATACGGCCACGGACGGCGACGCCGGGGACAACGACATCACCACCGACTACAAGATCGTAGACGGCAACGACGACGGCAAATTTAAACTGGACGTAACGATAAATCCTTCTGGAGAGACGCCATACCTGCACCTGGAGACCACAGGCAAGCTGGACCGCGAGACGAGGGCGAGTTATCAGCTCAATATATCCGCCCAGGACGGTGGCTCTCCCCCGCGTTACGGATTCCTGCTAGTCAACGTATCCATCCTGGATGTGAACGACAACCCGCCCATCTTCGACCACAGCGACTACATCGTGTCGCTGAACGAGTCGGTGCCCCCAGGGACGTCGGTGCTTCAGGTCCAGGCTACAGACAATGACATCGGGGACAACGCTCGCCTCACCTACTACTTGGCAGAAACGGAAACTCAGTTCAGTGTGGATCCAGAAACCGGAATAATCAGCACTGTCGAGCCCCTCAGCTGCCATCAGAACTGCCAGCAGTCGCAGCCTTGTGCAAAGAGCTGCGTGTTTACAGTGTTTGCGCGAGATCATGGGTCGCCCTTACAGGATGGCAGGACTTATGTCACGGTGAACCTCTTGGATGCCAACGACCACGACCCGGTAGTCAGCTTCAGATACTTCCCTCCGACGGCGAACTTCGCAACCGTCGATGAAAATGCACAGAACGGGTCTGTGGTCGCCGCGGTCTCTGTGATAGACGACGACGAAGGCTCAAACGGGCAGACAACCGTCGAGATAAGAGCTGGCAATGAACTCGGTCATTTCAGATTAGATTCTAAGTCAGACTTCGACATCGTGCGCGTCAACGGCGTCTTAGATCGAGAGAAAATCAGTAAATACAATGTGACCATCGTAGCCACAGACAAAGGCACACCGCCAAGGTCATCAACTGCGTTCCTGATCATCCATGTCAACGACATCAACGATCATGAGCCAGTGTTCGAGAAGAGTGAGTATTCGGCCGTCCTCAGTGAACTCGTCCCTATCGGCACCTACGTGGCTGGAATCACTGCCAACGACGAAGACACAGGTGTGAACTCAAACATTTATTACGCCATTATTTCTGGGAACGATAATCAGTGGTTCGACATCGACCTGCAGAGCGGCCTCATCACTACCAAAGCGCCTCTCGATCGTGAAGTACAGGACTCTATCGACCTAAAAATTACTGCTCGTGATGGCGGACCAAACCCGAAACGAGCTTACACGCACCTGAAGATCTCTATTCTGGACGAAAATGACGAAAAACCCACCTTCGCCCAGACCGTCATCAACGTCAGCTTATCGGAGAATACTCCACCTGACACTCTGGTAGCCATGGTGTCAGCAGTGGACCACGACCAAGGCACGAACGGTAGCGTATCCTACATGTTCGACCAGGACGTGGAACACATGTATCCAGGGATATTCGCCCTTGATGTATCCTCAGGCCGACTTACAACCATGACGAAATTAGACCGAGAAGCAATGCCTGAATACGAAATCAAAGTCGTAGCGAAAGACCAGGGAATACCCCCGCTCTCGTCGACGGCCACGGTTATTCTGAGTGTCCAGGATGTGAATGATAACAGCCCGGAGTTCTATCCTCAGCAGTACTTCGTCGTAGTCCCCGAAGACCTGCCTTTAGGGTCATCTGTGATAAAGGTTTCTGCGACTGACAAGGATGTTGGGGAGAACGCTGTAACGACTTACGAACTCAATGCTGGTGATGATAACGATAATGAGTTTGAAATAGACCCCGAGACCGGTATCATTCGTCTAAGTGGGAGGCTCAGTCATATCAGGAAGGCTCAGTATCGGTTGACAGTAGCTGCAAGAGACAAGAGTGATCGTAAGGCTGTTGAGGATGCTACTGTGGACATTGTAGTAGAAAGTAATCAGATTGAACTACTAGAATTTGAGGAGAGTAACGGGTATACTTTCTCTCTAGTCGAAGATGAAGCAAAGAAAGAACCCACAGTGGGAAGAGAAGTGGGAACTGTGGGCGTAGTGAACCCTAGCTCTGTAGGAGAGGTCAGCTATGCCATCGTCGCCGGGGACCCCGATAAGGTGTTCTCCATTGACGAGAAGACTGGCGTGATAAAAACCACGAAGAGAATAGACCGGGAACAGGCAGCGAGCTACCAACTCCGCACTGTGGCCACCACGACGTCTGCATATGGGAGGACCTGGGTCAACATTACGGTGGACGACGTCAATGATAATCCTCCCAAATTTCCCATCACACGAGCTCATGCTACCGTCGCAGAAAACTGGCCTGTGGGGCACCAGGTCTATCTTGCCCGGGCGTATGATAACGACGATGGCGTCAACAGCAAGATCACTTACAGCTTGTCTAACAATCCCGACGACTATTTCACCATTTCCAGGTCGAGTGGCATGATCTTCCTGAAGAAACCCGTGAAATATAGCAAAAGTAACAGTTTCAGGCTTGAAGTAGCTGCCACAGATTCCGGATCGCCGCCTTTATCCTCTCGCCAGGTTGTCATCATCACAGTGGAAGACGTGAACGACCACACGCCCATCTTCGAACACGGGTCGTACGAGACGTCGCTCCTGGAGTCTACACCTGTCAACGACAGGTTCTTTGCTCTGACTGCATCCGACGAGGACGACGGTCTGAATGGCTTCGTGTCGTATGATATCACCGAAGGCAACGAGGAGCGGAAATTCGGCATTTTCCCCGATGGTTATTTGTATGTGAAGAGCGCTCTAGACCGCGAGGCACAGGATTACTTCGCTCTGACGATCGTGGCCAGGGACCATGGCACCCCGCCCAGGTCCTCCACGGTGTCAGTCGTCATACATGTCATCGACGAGAACGACAACTCCCCCATGTTTACCAACTCGACCTTCACCTTCTACCTCGCCGAGAACGAACCGCCAGACACCTACGTCGGGAAACTAACAGCAGCTGACAGAGACAAAGGAAGAAACGCTGAGCTCACCTACTCAATAGCTACAAATCAAAAGGACTTTGTAGTAGATCCCAAAAGTGGTTTTCTGAAAACGCTGCACTACTTTGACCGCGAACAACTTGTCAAAGAAACTGGCCTGGATTACATATCAATGGAGGCAGTAGTTCTCGATAACGGTATCACGCGTCTGAGAGATAAAGCAAAAGTAAATATCTATATCACAGACGTCAATGACAACCCGCCGAAGTTCATGAGGAAGCCGTACAGAGCGCAGGTACCTGAAGAAGCTCCCATCAGCACAAACATCATCCGAATATCGGCCTCAGATGCCGACGAGGGGCTGAACGGGGATGTCTTTTACACAATCGTAGATGGCAACGAAGACGGGCGCTTCAAGGTGGATGAAACAACAGGGCAGGTGACACTGGCCCGGCCGCTGGATCGTGAGACAACACCCAAGTATCTACTGACGGTGGCGGCAGCTGACCTGGGGAACCCTTTCGGCCTCACCGCCACTGCCACGCTCACGGTGGACGTCCTGGACGCGAACGACAATGCTCCCGAGTTCACACAGAGCGAGTCTGAGATCTTCATTGTGGAAACAACAGAGGTCAACACTGTCCTTGTTCAGTTCCAGGCCACAGATGCAGATCTGGGGGTAAATAAGGAAGTGTCATTCATGATCGGAGGCGGTAACATGCAGGAGGCTTTCCGCATCGACACCAAGACGGGAACCCTGTACCTGGAACGTCCTTTAGACTTCGAAGAGCAGAGTCTGTACCGTCTGAACATCACTGCTGCAGATGGCGGCTCTCCTCGTCTGACGTCGACCATCTCGTTCGTAGTGCACGTGCAGGACTACAATGACAACCCGCCGGCCTTCCCGAACACTGCTATATGGCGAAGGATCGACGAGAACATCAGACCGAAGTCTCACGTCGTCACCGTCACCGCCGAGGATCCCGATTCCGGGGAGAACGGCAAGATCAAGTACACCATCAAGAGTCAAGAGCCTCCCGGAAAGCACTTTGCCATCGACGAGAATACGGGCGAGGTTTCTACACTTGAAAGCATAGACCGCGAATTTTCAGACACTTTCCGGTTGACCGTGGTTGCCACAGATCAAGCAGAACCCAAATCAGCGCGTCTTCAGGCAGAGAAGCTCGTCACCGTGATCGTGGAGGACATCAACGACAACGCGCCACAGTTCGTCTCCATGAACGCTGGAATACTGCATGAGAACTCTCCTGTAGGCACCGAAATCATGCGCGTGTCAGCCCGCGATCTCGATGCCAACCCCAACGGCTTGGTGACCTACGAAATGGTGGCCGGGAATAAGGATATATTCCGCCTCGACCGCGTGACAGGGGCTTTGAAGCTGATACGAGAAGTGACCTCCCCCGCGATCATGTACTCTGTCACTGTTCGCGCTACAGACGAGGCCGTCCAGTCCCAACGAAGGTCCTCCGACGCCTACCTGACGATCCTCAGCATGTCGTCACAAGAGGGACCCAAATTCCTGAAGAACTCCTACTCGGGATCAGTCCTGGAGAGCTCAAACATTGACACTTCGGTCGCGACAGTGAGTGCCCGCCTCAGCTCCAATGCCCTGGCGGATATTGCCTATTACGTGGTGAACGTGACGGCTGAGGACGGCCGGCCCATGGATCGCATGTTCGCCGTCCAGCAGCAGGGCAAGGTAGTCACCGCCGCCGTCCTCGACCGCGAGAATGGCCCCGAGAACTACCTCGTGACCGTAGCCGCCGTGGTCACTCAGGGGGGCACTCCCAAGCTCTCCACTACTCAGGTAAGAGCTCTTTGTACTTCTTGTTACAGTGCCTGCATGCGCATGAATATTAAATACGGATCGTGATGCGACTCCATAATTCCTTTTTTTATCTCAGTCACAACAATGCAGTTAAGCAGCTGATCGGTTAATTGTAAAGTATCAAGGGATGTAAATGATGAACATCGAAAGCGCTTCGGCTGAAGGACCGAGACACTCGTGAGCCTTTAATCAGGGAATCCGGTAGACGCGCACGCAGACACATGCATTTATATATATATATATATATATATATATATATATATATATATATATATATATATATATATATATATATATATATACATATATGTGTGTATGTGTGTATATGTGTGTGTGTGTGTGTGTGTGTGTGTGTGTGTGTGTGTGTGTGTGTGTGTGTGTGTGTTTGTGTGTGTGTGTGTGTGTGTGTGTGTGTGTGTGTGTGTGTGTGTGTGTATGTGTGTATATACATGCATACATACATACATATGTGCATGTATGGATACATTCATTCAGATATGCAGTTATGCATACATACACACACGCATATACAGTATACCCACGTACATACATACATACATGCATACATATAAACACACATGCACACATATAAAAACATACTGTAGGTAAACACACACACACACATATATATAATCAGAGTAAGAACTAACTCGCTGAGGTAGGAATATGTTCAGACGTGAACGTTGGATGGGAGAAGGAGGGACGACGGAAGAAAGATAAAGGAGGAGAGAAAAGGAGAGTGAGAAAAGGGAAGAAATGGTGGATAAAGGACAGAGAAGGGAGTAGGAAGGAGGCGGGAAAGAAATGGGGAAGAGAAAGAGGAGAAAAAAGGAAGAGGATGGCGAGGAGGGAGAATAACGAAAAGAGAGAGAAAAGAGGGATAAAGGAAGCGGAAAGACAAAAGAAGAAGCAAGGAGAACGAGGAAGCAAAGAAGGTCCGGATAAAGAGAAGAGGGACTGCGGACTTGATGATCGTGAGAGCTCTATGAAAAAGGATTTGCAATGAATAACGATGTGACTCAGCACCAGATTACTGCCACCTTCTTCCCGAATTTTTTTTTCTTTTTTTTCACGACGCGAAGTGAATTGTGTCTATCTTGACGACCCTTTTTAGGGATAAACGACCCAGTGCATCAAAACTGTCAGTCGCTTCTATTTGTCTGTCTGATGGTCTCCTTCTCTTGTCCTTTTCTCTCATTCTGTCTGTATATTTGTCGGTGTGTCCTCCCCCACTCTCTCTCTTTGTGTGTCTGTCTGTCACTGTTTTTTGTCTCTGTCTGTGTCGATCTGTCTGCCTGTCTGTTTGTCTACTTGACTGTCTATCTGTCTGCTTCTCTCTCTCTCTCTCTCTCTCTCTCTCTCTCTCTCTCTCTCTCTCTCTCTCTCTCTCTCTCTCTCTCTCTCTCTCTCTCTCTTTCTCTTTCTCTTTCGTTTTCTTTGAGCGTCGTGTCGGCTTAATGAATCCTTCACTGAAAACCTTCGTTGTGATATGCAGAGAAAAGAAACTCATTTATTTGTCAGGAAAACAAGAGTCTAGGTTTACACATATCATTATTTAAATGTGCAAAAGAGCGAAGAAAAGATATAGTGTATTTTTAACTCCGGGCTTATGCAAGGACAAGACAGCAGACTCTTGTATATCATCTACTGGCAGTTACAAAGAGCCTCCGTCGGCGTTAAGGACTTTGCGAGAAAAATGGCTGCGTAATCATTTGTTTATCGAGATGGCGTATGTTTGCCTTATTATTTGTATTCTGTCGGCAGCCTATCGGTTTCTTATATTTTCTTGTCTCTCGCACATGTCCGTTTGTCTGTGTGTCAGTCTGTGAGTGCGTGTATGTGTATGTATGCTTTACTACTGATAATTAAGTGATCAAAGAAAGATGTATGTGGAAAATTGATAGAGAGATAGATAGATGGACAGATAGAAAGGTAGATAGATAGATAAATAGACAGAGATAGATAGATAGATAGATAGATAGATAGATAGATAGATAGATAGATAGATAGATAGAGAGAAGAGAAATAGAGATTGTGAAAGAGGTAGATAAATAGATATATAGTTAGATACTGTAGATGGACAGAGAGAAAGTAAGAGCGAGCAAGCGAGAGAAAGAGAAAGAGAGAGAGAGAGAGAGAGAGAGAGAGAGAGAGAGAGAGAGAGAGAGAGAGAGAGAGAGAGAGAGAGAGAGAGAGAGAGAGAGAGAGAGAAAGAGAAAGAGAAAGGTACTCTCAAAAATAAAATCTCAAACCTACATCCAAAGATCCAAGATACAGACATAAAGAGAGAAAGAAAAAAAAGAACAAGAAAAAAAGGAAAAGAAAAAAAACAAGAAAGATAACCACAATCTTCATAAGAGGAGAGAACGAAAACTTAAAAAAAAAGAAAGAAAAAAAAATCACAAGTCAAGGAAGGAGAAACAACACTCACTTAAGGGCGATTCGACCCTCGTTCCAGCCACAACAACCGACCACTCGTGCCACTTCCGTTCACACCCTCTTGCATCCGAGCCGCCAATTCGACCGAAACGTGAGCGGAAGGGAGTCGTTAGGGGAACACGAGAACGATCACGGGAAACGCGGCCCGAACGTGCGTGGGGAAGGCACTGGGTAATCTGATGGCCTTTATTGACTTTTTTGTCAGGGTAGGGGTGTGCGTAGGGGAGGGGGGGAGGGTTCGTAGGGTGGGGGTGGGGATGGGGGAAGGATGGGGGTTAAGGGGGGAATGGGTGGGGGAGGGTGAGTGGGGTTGGGGGTTGGGAGGGGGCAGGGGGGGGGGAGACTGTGAGTAGATTTGCATACGTAAAGATATAGTCCCTAGAATATGTGCATTGTATGGGAACGTGTGGTTAGGTACAATTATATGAATGTGTATAAGTATAAGTATGCACAGTCCCGTACCAAGATGTATGTGTGTATGTACAGTTTGTATGCATGCATGTATGTATGTATGCATTAATGTATGTATGTATTTATGTATGTAATTATGTATGCATGTATGAACGCCTACAAGTGTGATATACGCGAGATGTATGATTGCGTAAGTGTCTAATTCTGCATCCATTTAAATGCATGTCTATCTATCTATACTTATATGTGTTCAGATTTATGGTTTTCATTTATTTAATTTGTTCGCTCTTTACTTTATCAGCTAAGGGACCATTAATGTAATATTCCGTTTTCTATGCAGCTGTAGTTGCTTCTGAAAAGATTTATTGTTGTTATTGTTGTTTTTACTATTTACCATCTTTACTATTTACCATGTTTCTATGCTCGTCTATGTTCGTTTTTTTTTGCGATAGAGATAGCTGCTATAAAACTAATTGCAAGAATATTACCTTAAATATAAATGAACAAATTAATACTGGAAATGCTAATATGATATGATAATCGAAAAAAAATGCGTTTTTATGATCTATGCTGGTAATGCTGATATTAACGATGATATGCTGATAATGAAGATAAGCAATTCTGATTATGTTAATTATGCAATTAACATTTTGATGATCGTTATGATAATAATCCTAACGATTAGCAATGATAAAGCTATTATAATAAATTTTAGGTGCTTAATTCATTGTAATAATCATTTGCTTGCAACATTTATTTGGATTGAATTACATATAAAATATGAATAGGGTAAAATATTTTTCAGTCGCCCATAATTGCAGCAAAATCTAGTCGCTCTCTTTTATCATATATATATACAGATACATATATATATATATATATATATATATATATATATATATATATATATATATATATATATATATATATATATTTATTGCCATAGCCTATTGTATTTGTTTTCGTTTTTTTCTACAGCCATGTATTTTTATGAAAATTAGGGAAAGTTGTAGTCGTGCACAGTCTGTTTATTTATTCAATATATCGTAGTCTATTTTTTTTATTCTTTTAAATATTAAACGCAGAGATATTCATGTTCGAGTGTGCTATCTTGACCGCTGTGTGCAAGTATGTTTCCTTATGTTACATTCTGATAATCATTAAGATAAATTAATTTGTATGTGATTTTTTAGGGCAATTATCATCCATCTTTTGTGCATTTTATATGTTGTTACACTTAATGTCCTTTGATATGACGTCTCACACAGGCTTTGTCGGAATGCTTAGGCCTGCACATAAAAATAAGACTCACACAGATGCATAAAGTACAGGCACGCCCTCACTGACAACCCAGGGCAGGCCTTCCATCTGTCTCGTCATAATCATTGCAGTCCTTGGTTGCATTAGCCATTGCCTGCTGCTCCTTTTACGTCCTGGCGCTCCTTGTCTCTCTCCCTCTGTTCCTTCCCTTCCACTGCACTCCCTCCCTCTCTCTCCATTCTCTTCTTCTTAGTGTTTTCCTTCTGGTCTCTGTCTTCCCTTTGTCTCACTGTACTCTTTCTCTTTTCTCCTTCTCTCCCTCTCACCGTCCTCCTTTTCCTGTTCCCTTCCTCTCACTTGTTCTCCTTCTCTCTCTTCTCTTCTTCTCTCACATGTCCTCCTCTTCCTTCTTTCCTCTCTTTCCTTCTTTCAACGAGGTCTTCTTGTCTTGAATGTTTTCTTCTCTGATCTGTTCTTTGAATGCTCCCTTGCCCCTCCCAGAACCCTCCCTTTCTCTCCCCTGCCGTCTAAACCCCTTTCTCGGTTTCCTTCTTCCTTCCCTCCCTACCCCTCTCCTCTCTCCCTCCCCTTCCCTCTTTTCTTTTCACTTCTCTTCTCCGTCCCCAGCCCTCGTTTTCCCTCTCTCTTTCCCTTTCTCCCCTCCTCTCCTATCTACCCTTTCTCTATCCTTCCCTCTCATATTTTCTCTACTTCCTTTCCCTCTCTCCTCCCCTCCTCGTACCCCTTCTCTCTCCTCTCCCCCCTCCCCTCTCTCCTTGCTCCCTCTCTCTCCTTCCCTCCCCCCACCCCTCTCCCTTCTCCTCTCCCTGCTCCCTCTCTCCCCTTCCCTCCCCCCACCTCTCCCCTTC